CGTAGCAAGCGTTTCCAATCGAGTTATTGCACGAAAGTTAGAGCGGTAGCAAAAAAAAAACGGTGGAAGTAGGAGAGGGAGGGGAGAAGAGGAAACGCTTGCCCGCAAACCCCACGATTCTGGTGAACGCCCCTTGATTTTTCACGGTTCGGTTCATTTGTAAATTGACAGCTCGTCAAAATAGAAGTATAACGAATAGATTACTCCTGGATCACCAGATTTGTAACATTATACTTTGAATTGTTCTCTAATGGAACACGTTCCAGGTGATTGCAAAAACTGTAATAAAAATGTCTACGATAAAAGAAGGTTAAAACTCTAAGCGATTGTTGTGGAATTTCTTGTTGTTAATTGTGTGGTTTTGTCTCGTCTGAAACCTGGTCGAAACGTCAAAAATGATTTGAGCGGCAGCTCTTCAGCCCGTTTTGAAACGTTCTCTACAATACATGCCGATAAATTTCCAATAAATAAAAAGAACCTTTTCATTTTAAAAAGCTGATAAATCGCTTGTCCATGGTGGCTTTAGCTAGTCGATTACCGATGTTCTGATTTACGTTGGTGTTATCTCCAACAAAACAACAGTCCATTTTTTCCAGTCATGATCAGATCCGCACGCCGTCATTAACAATAAATTGGCCTTCCCTAGTCTCCCCTGCTCTATCTCCAATTATACTTTGAAGACTCAGATCTCATAAACCCTCGCACAAACACGATTCAAATGAATATCAGTCCAAAGCATTTGTAATCTGCCACCACAAATCAGATAAGATGTGACGCTCGTAAACAAAGCATACCTGGTTTGATTGATGTTTCGAGTGCTAAGTAATCAACACTACCAACACCGCACCAATCAGAAGCTGCGTTCGTGGGCGGTTTTTCAAAATCGTGGGGTTTGCTTGCAAGCGTTTCCTTCTTTCTCCTCCCCCTCCCCTGTCATTCCTTTTTTTTTGCTCTCGTCCCAACTTTCTCGACTAACTCGGGGGGAAACACTTGCTACGCAGCCTAAGGAGTATCAGAACCGCGCAGCTTATATTTACAGTCAAGTGTTGTGGAAATCAGCTTTTGTTTTACAGATTAGGAAGAGTAATTAGGGGCCACTTGGGAGTAACTTCCATTGGACTACACTAAGAGAGTTACCTAAGTTTGCTTCCCTTGTCAAGGAGATAAAGTATTTGTTATAACGTAAAAACTCTATTCTGGGCTCACTTTGCGCAAAGTCCACTAGCTGAGTGTGCAAAGTCCAATAGCTGAGTGTGACCTGCTGGAGCAACAATACTTTGCCCATTTGCACAAGTTGATTTTCTACATTTACTTTTGTCTCACTCAGAATACAGGCAAACTTCACACAAAAGTGCAGCTGATTTTAGTAAAAAATAATGACGAACAATTTACAAAAAGACCTGAAAACAGAAACTGTTCATGATCAAAATTCAACTTAGACTAAAATCTGACAACCAAATGCACAACAAACAAGAATAAGTGTCATTGTTTTCTGAAATGTCTGGTATGTAAATAACCATGGCAGGTTGCCATGTAACAGGTCTCTCACAGAGTTAAGAAAATAAAGCTTCTGCTCAACAAATTAGCTATACAGATAATTATTACAATCATCAACATGGATGTCCTTCAGCCCATATCGACCCCAATGTGTGATTATTTCAGGCTATTATTGAGTTATTTCACAACTAGTATGTTTGAACAGTTATTGTTAATCTCCAAACACAATAGTAAGTTGAGATGGACTCCTCCGCTCCATCCACCAAATAAACTGTTAAATTGGAAACAATAACATCTTTGTCTCTCCAGTTCAAAGTATTTGTCACGGAACCAATTTTCACTTCCTTATAAGCCAAACACATGGCCTTTCTACCCACTGTGCAACAAATTTTACCACTCTTTACCCAGGTCTGGGCGCCCCAAGGCATTGAACTAATTTCTAAACTCGAAAGTATCCAAAAACGTGCCACCAAATTCATTCTTTGCTTGCCTTTTTTGACAAATATCTCTTACAAAGAAAGACTAATGTCTGTAAACCTACTTCCTGTGTGCTACTGGCACGAGTTACTAGATCTAGTATACTTTTACAAGGCTACGCATAATATGATTCACCTAGATCCGTCTGTTGTTCCCTTCGTGCGCGAATGCGCGCGAAGAACTCGCATATCCGTAACGAGCTCTCAATCTTTTGTGCCTAAAAAATGCAGGACTTCTACCTTTCAGAAATCTTTTTGCATTAGAACCACTAGAATCTGGAACCTGCTTGTTACTAGACTTGACCTAGATAATGTTACTTTTGAGAACTTTAAATCTGTTCTTTACGGTTATTACTCGCGGGCTCTAGCAACTGAAACTATGACCCGGACTCTCCAATGAGCTTCAAAAGTATTTGCTTGAAATGTAACACAGCCAGGTTTTCAGACCAAGAAATTAGCTGCTGCATGTGATTTAAATTGCTACTTTTATCTCTTTTTATTTTTTGGGTCCGCAGTAATTGGCTTTAGCTGTTGCGGTGTCCCTGCCCAAATATTTAAGTTATTATTAGTGTATTGTTACGTTCTTATTACTAGTGTTTGCATATCTTCAGTGTTTTTTTTTTGTATTCTTCAGGGCAAAGCTAATAAAATAAAATAAATAAAAAATTCTTCCTGCAAAGATTATCAATGCTCTGCATGTTAATTAACTTACTTAAAATCTTGATACATGCATTTGCATTGTGTTCAGATTAAGTGGTAATTATTGTTTCAAAGGAATTAGGCCCAACAGGAAGATTTTCTAAGTGGAATTTGAAGAAAAACATCTCTGTGTTTTTCAGAATGAATAAATGTGACTATCAGGATTCTTAACAAGTGACCTCAAACATTCCTCATCATTTTCAGAGGATAAAAAAAATGTTCTAGAGGTGTGTTTTAATTATGCTATTCCTGGCAACAATGAATTTCAGTGATTTCTTTTGTTTCACAGATTAATAAGCGACCTTATACATTTTGCACATCAGGTTTTATTCAGATGACGGGAGAACGCCCAAGTAACGTGTCACCAGCTCAGGGAACAACAACTTAATTCAATTAAGTTAAAGTTTCGTAAGTTACATTGGTTATGTAACAGAATGAATTTTGTCTTAAGTTTTAAAATGAACGAAATCTCGTGCGCACAAAAACATTAATGAAAGACTTTGAATATTTTTGACAGTAAAACTGCTTTGTCACTCCTTGGAACTTGTAAGATCAGTAAATCAATTGAAACCAACTTTTTTTATCCCTATGCATCGCTTTTTTATTTATCGCCTGTTTTTTTTCTTTTTCAAGGATTTTTTCCCCTGTTGTTAACCAACCCGCCGCTTGAATACATGACTGATTAAATTAAAACAGAGTTTCACTTATGATTCTCCTAAGATCATGAAACTGGCATTAAGCAGACACGGAAGTGGGGCATAGGCAAGAAAGATAGTGTAGCCCAATGCTAATTCATCGAACCAAAGATCAGTTGTTCCACTTTCAAGAAGTTCTTTCAACTTGATGTGAGTACATATCACCTCCATCGGTATACCCAGTGCTTGTCAAGTAGGAGTTAGAGTTGGAGACCAGTGACAAGAAAAACGATGAAGAACAACGAAGCTCAACCAATGGGGAATTTCAAACTCTGTCTGAGAATCTTCTTGGCCGTCTGTGGCTATTTGTAATGGATCTTGATCGCCCATCTTCAGTTTTGAGTTTTGCGGTCTACAAAACTTAGTTATGCAGTGGTGACTTAATCTGCCGCATATCTCCTCCTTAAATTGGGGATCTGCGAAAAAGGACCAATACCTGATCATTAATTTCTGAGCATCCCATTCATTGTTCCACCCAAGCAAGAAAGACGCAAGATGCCGGCGTGCTCAAGTTAGACACCGACCAACTCTCAGGCGAAGTACTGATAATCCCATGTAGCCGCTGTGGTGCTTTTTGTAATCGGGTGGTTGCGCTCTTTAACATCTGGTGTGGTTTGATTTGTTGCTACTGATCCGCGGAAATGTTTGGTAGTTTCGAAAACGAAGCACTCGAAAACGAAGACCGAAGCACGAAGTACCCAAATCTCGAAAAAGAAGCACCCAAATCTCGAAAACGAAGCACCCAAAAACTCGAAAACAAAGACCCCAAAAACTCGAAAACGAAGACCCCTAAACTTGAAACCGGTCTGTCCTTTATAAACACGAGACAGTCTCTTGCTAATACAGCAGGAACCAAGCACGATAACGTAAGAGTCTTACGCGCGAGCCTCACTCTCCGTTTTCAAACTCGTTTCAGACCTTTTGTGTTAGTGCTCGCGCATACTTGCATACGTCAAAATACGGTCAGTTTTGAAGTCTACATAAACATGTATGTGTACCAAAAAAAATGCATATTAAGATAAGATGTATCAAGTATAGCGAGACTAATAATAAAATTAATACAGGATATCCTATCTAGAAACGTTCAGTTAAACAGTTTGCAGGCTTTTATAAAACCTTGGGATGGATTTTGTCGACCTTTGGAGGTGCGAACGCATCCGCTGCCTCCACCTGATTCGGATTGCGTCATGCTAGACGTAAAATTGTACTTATTCAACCTACAGTGGTTTCGAGTTTTGAGTGCTTCCTTTTCGAGTGCCTCGTTTTCGACAGGTGCTTCGTTTTCGAGATTTGAGTGCTTCGTGCTTTGGTCTTCGTTTTCGAGTGCTTCGTTTTCAAAACTACCGAAATGTTTATGAAGGTCGGTCCGCGGGCGTACCGCTCAGCAAGTTTGTGATTTCGCCCCTTTCGGGGAATATTGGCATTGATACTGGTCATGACACACTGATGTTACCTTATCCTCCTATAAAGTTGCCGAAACCACATGTAACAAGATACTTATCCCTCTGGTTTCAATATTCCACATCATAGAGAGCTGTATTCCCTCATCTCGCGTGCGTCAGGGTTCATGTTCATATACATGACGCATAAACTGTTTTGGTAGCAGACCGCAGGCAAATGCAATGCGGTAACAGTTGGAGCGGAGTGTCGGAGAGTAGCTTCGGACAGCAAAAGACAGTGACAGAAGCTTCTGTCATGACGGAATAGAACGGTTCTCGAGCGGTTGTTGGAATGAAAGAAGTTGTATTCTACTACGATGTTGTTTGTCCATTCGCCTTTATCGCACGTAAGCTGATAGAGGGTGTTGCTCGTCGAACTGGAGCAAAAATTAGGTGGAAACCTGTTCTTCTAGGTAAAGTATGTAACACTGATCGCATGAATGTTGACGAGGCAAATTTGATTTGTTTATTTGATTGGCGTAATAGCCGATACAAGTAATTTATTAAAAAACGTGTATGTTATCCCCAAACTTTAACAAAGAATTGGAAAACAAAACAAAACAACAAAAAAGAAGACCCCTGTGTCAGTCAAAACTCTGATTTGCACAGGAGGCCCAGGTTTAGTAATACTGAATTTGATTTTTGACAACCTTGTTTGCATACCATTCTCAATACGAGCTGATGACTTAATTTTTTTGTAGGTTTCATTTTTACCTTTTATTGAAGCAGGGCTTCTTGGGAGTCTTCTCCTCATGTTCCTCTGCGATAATCTCAACCAAGAAATAACGTACTTCACAAGAACAACAAGAAGTTAAAGGGACAGTGTCCCAATTATGCGCGTGCGTGAGCGTCATCTGTTTTTTCTTCAAAAGACAATAGAACTATCATATTGACTAGAGAAGATTTCCTTCCGGACCACACCGCCAATGGTGATTTGTTGTTTACATTCTCAAGTAATATATTAGACTTTCGAAGAAGTCTTTAGTTTTATTTAAAATTTGGCTCATGGCACGAAGACTCATTGCGATTTTATCGCTAGCAGGGCCGCCTCGCGACCCGAAAATCTTGTTCCGCTCGCTTTAAGAACAGCTTTTCTAATGTTAAAGTCGTGTCAGAGGTCAACTGTTCTCCGTCCAATAATATTTACCTGATTTGCTCGCATTCTAGCCTCAAACGTTTGAAAGACATAAATAAAAATGCAATCTCAATGCTATGAATCATCACAAAGGTTAGTCATGATTTCATGGCGCTAGTTTTTATAAACATGAAGCACCTCTTTGTTTGATTTTGTCTGCCATAGGGAGGTTCATTTAAAAGTTTACGGACACCTCGTTACAAAAGATTCTGTTCTACGAAGCTTAATTGCACAAGATCTCCTCAGCCACATCAATGTCTCAATGGTTTCTTTCTTACAGCCTTTATTGCTGTTTCATTTCTTCTTATTCCTTTCACAATTATCTGTAGTGGGCTTGTATGGAAGCTAGCAGAAGAAATAAGCCTTCAATCGGCATAAAGTGCTTCCCATCTTTTGGTCCTCCCGCGGCCAGCAGCAATAAAAGTAACGCCAAAAAATCCCGATTTTGCCCAAATCAAAGCTTTCGGGAACAATATATCATTGATCTGTAATCCTGAGAAGTTTTAGTGTAGTATTGAACTCGCGAGGCCAAGCGCGATGCAAACAGATTTTTCAAGGTTTTCTTACTCTCCTAGCATCTTTTGATTTCACAACATCCTGTCCAAAAATCAAAGTTTGGTGCATGCGCAGTAACGGGATACTGTTCCTTTAATTTTGACAGTTTCCCTGCCTCCTTTCCCAGTACAAGACCACTTCAAACAACTGCTCACCCCTGGGCCCTAAGGGCCCGACTTTTCCTGGGGGTTGCCTTGGAAGGGCAAAGGGGGTGGTAGCCAGTAAAATTCAACCGTGCATTATTGTTTGGAAAAATCATCCATAGCCCCTGAAATTTCTAATGTTATTGATTTGTAAATCTGAAAACAATAAGTATTCTAAGCAAAAAAAAGCCTGGACAGTTTGTTGCACAACGAGTGTTCTGACCAGGTGGATGAATAATAGTCCTATTGTCAGTGTAATTTCCTTGTGCAGAGCAACAATACTTTACCTAGCTGTTGATTGTGGTTTTTGGTGTTATATACATTTCTTTTTCTTATTTTCTGATATTTGAAGGTGGCCTGTACAAAGGGACACAGGCACCCCAGGGTGCTGCAGGATCTGCATATGATGATATGTGTGCCTCTAAAATCAAGATATTAGCTGATGGTAAGGTCTCAAAATATTTGTGAGCATGCTTGTTACCATTTTTTGTAATAATTATATACTGTCAAGGCTGTGCTCTAAGGAAAATTGAAGGGAGCCCAGTGCTCTGAAACTGTAAAATCTAGGGTGCCCAGCATATGATTTGTATGAAAAATCTGAGATTTTCTAGTCGCCCGTGGGCAAAAGTTAGGCGCCAGGGGCCACCGGGCTCTGCTAGAGCACAGCCCTGACTGTGTATACAGTTACAGTTAATTGGGAACCGAATGTAATTTAACACAACTACATGTAAGGAAATGAACAGATACAGTCAAACCTCTATTAAGTGGTCACCCTTGGAAATTAGCCAGCTGACCTCTTAATAGAGGTTTTCTAAAAATATTAAGCCCATAATGTGGCAGAAATTGACATAGAGGGCAAAATTCATCAGTCTTTACAGTATTATTTATTGTTCATGCAACAACAGGAAATGTGATAAAAGTATCTGGATGTTCTGAGGAGTTCATACCTAAACAACAAATTTATTTTTACAGTAATGTCGTTTGTAGGGCAAGCATCTTTTCAATCAAGCACATCAGCAATTTTAAAACCTTATTCAACATGGAGAGAGGCATGTATTTAATACTGGGGTTACAATGTTATGTTGCGTCTGATCAATTGTGAAAGAAACTGGAATTACTTCAGTTATCTTCGTGTTAAAAAATATGGCAATTATTAATTGTTATGTAACAAGGTGACAGTTTAACAGAGGTAAATTATTACAGTGAATTAGCCAATTGGGAAATCCAAACAGTGACCACGTCCACTTAATAGAGGTGACCGTTCTATAGAGGCCATAGAGGGTGACCACTTAATAGAGGTTTGACTGTATGTGGTTCAGCCAGGGATTGAAGTGGGGTCTCTAAATAGGTCCAGCTATTCTGGACAAAAGTGCTTGGGACAGTGTGGCAGTATTTTCTTTAATTTCTTGGTGCCCTCAAAAAACAGTGCAACTCAGTTTTCCAAAAATGTCTGGCAGGTCTCCCTCCACCCTGCCTTAAATCCAACCTTATTTGTGGGATGGGGGAAGGGGTTGGGCATGTGTGATTTCAAGGAAGCCCAACAAATGCAAATTTGTCCCAAGATTTTGTCCAATTGATTGTAGTTTGGATGCTGGTAAGACCACTCAACCACTGAACTAACTGCGCCTGGAACATTATTGCGGTTCATGGACTTTTAAGTAGCCAGGTCTGGGGGTATCAACACATATTTCTGTACTGACGATCACTTCTCTATCCCCCGGCCAATGGTTGATGCAAAGCCCTATCCCACTAAGGAATTTAAGAATGGGGAAAGAAATGTGGACAACTGATTACCACATATTGTCTTGAGGATAACAAACCTACGGTATTTCCTTGAATAATAGCCGTCCCTCAATTAATCTCCCTCAAATAATCGCCCACTCTTCGCCCCTCTCGCCATCTTCTCTTTCTCTTATACCCTCCCTGTCAACTTGAAGTGGAGTCAGATCCAGCAGAATGATCAGTGACGATTCAAGCTCTGACGCCCAGGATATTGAGGCCGGAAATTCATCAAGGAACCAAATTTGGAAAAAATATTTAGGACACAACCTCCACTGAGCAATTATTTGAAATAATCGCCTTCCTCAAATAATCACCCCCTTTTTGTGAGAAAAAAGTAATAATCGCCCCTGCCTATTATTTGAGGAAATACAGTATTCCTGTTTAAATGGCTAAAGACGTTATTCACAATACCCACCATCTTTGCATGGGCTTTAAGACTGAAGGCATAAAAGCCATATCACATGGTTTCTCAGAGGGCAAACAAGTAAAAACTTCTGCCGATACAGGAGATTAGGGTTGTGTTTGTTTATCCTAGACTTTAGAAAATGAAGAACTTTTTATGTTTAATATATATTTTTGGTGTAGCCATAAGGAGTGAAAAACACAAATAAAAAAGGGGGGGGGTCACCGTTCTCGTTTCATCACAAAACGACTGCAAAAAGATGATTTTGGCTTTAAATGATCATTTTGCACGGGGGAACTGGGGCTAGTTTCAAGACAAACACCTTTTTAGCTGAGTATAATTATCAAAATTGCCATCAAAAGCATTAGGAGTACAAAGGGAGCCAAAATTACCTCTTTTTAGGCGACCGGTGAAAATCACTGCCACCTTTGAAGTCGCAATGTTATGGGCACTAGGTGATCCGCAGTGCAAAATAAGGGAACAGTAAAAATCTGGTTTGCCCTTATTTGTGAAATTAAAGGATTAGAGAAGGCCTCCAAAGTCATTTTCTACAATGGAACTTAAAGATCAGTGTTCATAGACGAGAGACCAGTTTGTACTCTGCGGCACTTAACTTGATTTGTGTTGTTTCACTTCATGTCACCGCACTCTCAGCACCTTCAACAGGCTAAGGAGCTTGCGTGAACTATTTCTACCGCTGGCCAAACGCGCTGTTATGATGCTCTCTCTGCTGAGTTCCCTGTGCAGTTTTTCAACACAAGTACCGCTTCTCCCTCGGATATTTCTTGTCCCTGTTCCGGTCGGAAGTAGGGAAAGATGTTGAGCTTCCAACGGAGAAGCTAGAATACGAATGCGGAGACAGCGTTTATATATCGGGGCTGTCAAATTGAAAATGGCTTAGGATGCAGTTTTGTTTAACACCGGGTAAAATTTGTTTTATTAACAACACGTTAATTTTCAAGGTTATTCAGGATAGACTGAAGGGCCACTTTTAATCACCCACTAAACGAACCAACTCGCTTGCAGCACTGCTGAGATAAACAAGTTACCAAATGTACAAAACTAAGAATTGAACCTAGTTAATTCGCCTTTTAGAGGCCCACAATGTACAGTGCCAACAGATATCTGTGGGACACGGACAGGAAGAGGTCATTGATGTTGCCTTGGCAACGGCTGTGTGGACTGACACTTGGCTGGTAATAGAAAACCTTCACTGAATTGGCTTCTCGTCTATGGCTGGAGCAACTCTACAATCGGTTATCGAGGCTTCAATTACAAGCTGGTGCGTATCATTTTGATGTGGGAGGGGAAAGGATGATCTTGAAGGTTCGGTGGGGAGGTGGGAGTTTTTTTGCCCAATGTTGAACGCTGTGGACTCGTAAAAGGGAGTTAGGGTCTGTTTGTATGATAGCGGAATGACTTTCGTTCAGAAATTAGTTCTGTTCCAGAGTTAAGTTCGTATCGCTTTCAAGCGATCTCACTCGCGTGGTTTTCGCGCCAGTCAAATACGTATGCGCCACTCGTGCCAGACTATACGATTTGCGATTTAAGATCCAGAACAAAGTTCGTTTTCAGTTTACATGATACCAGAATTTGTACCAAAACGACGATTTTATTCGGAATGAAAACCAGAATGACTTGTACGGGAACGAAATGGTCTTTTGGTATCATGCAAACAAATGCAGAGAAATATATGGAGATGGAATAAACTCGATCCAGAATGAAAGTCATTCCGTTATCATTTGAATAGCCCCTTAGTGTTTTAAACAGCTGGTGTTTTAGACACATCCACATTTGAAATCGTAGGCGCAAATTAAAGAACAAATCGTCTAAAGCAATGAGATCAACCCAACTGGTATGACCGTGATTTTCTTGAACGTCTGTCACAACGTGAAATCTGAGGAACCATTGCCATCATTTTACCCCTACACTTTATTATATACTAGTCATTCTGCTTGGCTCTCTACAATCGTATTTATCCCAATTATTTACGTATTTGGTACCATTCGGAAATACAACATGAAAGCGAGTTAAGCAGAATGTCCATAACCAGACTATTTCAACTAGATGCTGCGCATTAACATGAACATTCAGTAACACATTGTGGTGATATTTTCTCTTATGGCGTTTGTACAAACTTCATCAACTCCTTCTCAGTGGCGAGTATTTCTTCTTTGTGAGCCTGCGGATCACTTGCCTGTGGGGCTTCTTTTTGCCCATCAGCTGGCTTGGGGCGTGGTGCAGAGAGAAGGACCGGTG